AGTGCTTCAGCCGCCTGTTATCTTTTCCCTTCAGGTGAAGCCCGTAGCATCAGGCCGCAACATGGGCACTGACATCTCCGCGGTGCCAGTCAGCACAGCTGGCGTCCAGCGGCTGTATTGCTGCCATTGTCTGATGCCCTCAGTGCACTCCGGGACAGAGACGGAACGGCGAAGAGTAAATTAGCCAGAGAGAAAAGGATCTGATTGTGCAACGAAAAAAGACATAATACAAAGGCGACAGGGAGAGACAGGGAGAGCGCACAGGATTAAAATTAGTGACAGGACAAAAGAAGAAGGCTTCACACTGGCAAGGAGGCATCTGCTGGGATTATTCTTTATCATAATGTACCGGAGAGGCCGGACACACAACCCTATGAAGATGAAAATATATCAACATTCTTACAGTAGGTATAGCCGCCGGTTGTTTCCGCTTTTGATTAACTTAACTTAATAACTTTCTATCATCTCGCCACCCTTCCTACTGTGCAGTAAACCAGGTAGTGTATTGAAACAATTACGGCCTTACTTGTCCTGCTCGTGTTTGCGTAAATAATTTGAGTGGATGCTGGTAAGAAAAGTATAGATTAAAATTCAGCACTTATGTGAAATTTCAAGGTGTAATTATAACCAACTGCCTTGCTCTAAAGGAATTTAAGATCCACTCTGTGATCTCTGATTGTGGCTGTTGCTTCTTCCACTTTTAACAGTTTGCAGAGACGTCGAAACAATGTTTCTGCCTGGTGAGTGTGCGCGACTACTTGCGCGATTAAGTGCACGACAGACGTCACGGTCGTCCTCCATCAGACAAATGAAACCACAGCGTGGCACACGCAAACCCTAACTCACACCCATGCGCCTCAAATGAGCCAGGGAGGGCCATGACAAATTGGATTTGCAACGCAATGCCCTCGTTATTGTAACCAGGGTAACCGGGCGCTCCTTCACAATCATCCCATTTTGTCATCCTTCTTAGAGGGGGAGAAAAAGAGGCAGAGGCCTGGGTGAAGGGAGCAAGAGGAGAGAAGATTCCCAAAGACGTCTTTCACCCGCCGTTCCCTGTGACTCGCACATTAGTCCGTGGGAATTATCAGTTAGAGTTCAGCGTCCCTTAAGTAGGACATTATTTACTCCTCCATCACTGTAGACCCAGGCCCGTTGTGTTGTGGGACATTATGCTGACATCAAGAACTTTACACAGTAGCTTTCCTATCCGCCACCTTAAACATGCTCACCGGCCTTCGTATTTGATATCTGGGCCGTCTGGGGTGACATGCTGTTACAACACACTTTTACTCAACTTCCCTTTACTCCAGTAAAGTAAAATCCAGTTTCCACAGGATTTATGAATTGGCTTTTTGAGTTGCAACAATAACCTGTTGTGCGACGGGTGAGTGTGCCACTCTTCATTGACACAGTTTCATTGTTTCTTTAAATTGAGTGTGTACATTTTTAAAATTTTCTGCAGTCATAAATAGAAATATGCTTCAACGATATAACTAGATGTTATTGTTTCATTTCCAGCTCATGAAAATAAAGTATATAGTTAAAAAAATATATATATATATGAATGTTTCACAACACGAGAAATGTTAAGAATTAAGATCAAATTGCATGTAACCTGCTTGAAATAGTGTTGCAATAACATGAAGATTGAAGGCTTTACTTATTTGACTGAATTTAAACGTTATGATGGATGCCAAGTTTGTAGTGCTGAAATCAACCCATGTTACTGAAACTCCCAAATGTCCAAGAATAAGCATCCAGCAGATGAACTCAGTGACCAGTGAGCAGAATAGCTCATGTCCCTGGCGTCTACCAGAAAGCATAAATAACCTGCTGTGAACATTGATCAATTCCAAGCATGAGTCAGTTCAAACACAAGCGAGTGCGCCAAACTGATCTGACAAACTTGTATAATAGCTTTTACTATTGAATCAGAGAGGGATTATTGAAATAGAATCCAAGTTGTGAATCTGTTCTTTTTTAAATATATGTAAGCTATAAGTTTCCATTTTGACTAAAGGTTAACTTGACTGAATGTTCCTGCTCTGCTTTATGCAGAGATGTTGTGGTTCAACGAGTCCTCCAGCCACTCCAGAAAAGTTGAGGGTAAAACAAAGCAAAATTATCTTCTCCAATTTCTTTTTTTTTACGGCTATTGTAGCATCCGTGCGAGAGGCTACGCACATGCCAATTAGATAGCACCATAGAATTAGCCCGGATACTTAACGAGCAGCGGCTTCCATGCTAATAACGGATATTTGAGTCCACAGTGAAAGGCGGTGCACTGATGCATCAGGGCCGGAGGAGCGAGTGTGTAGGAGGCTGAAGCTGGCTATTCAGCCTCCTGGGATCCTCATCATCTGGCTTGATTCAGATGCCAAAGAGCTCTTTTGTTTAAGCCATTCAAACAACACCATTGTACCAAGTGGGTCTGATTGTGCTACTCTGCAATGCCGTAGTAACAACTGTGTGTGTGTGTGTGTGTGTTCTTGTCTGTTTGTCTGCGCGATGTTTTGGTTGCATTGTTGAGAATTATTATACAGACGTGTGTGTGTGTGTGTGTCTGTGGCATTGTGCGTCTGCATCCAGCAGCATGCGTTTGCATTTCCTGAAGCAGGGGGTTTTCTCTGCTGGTGCAACAATGCCACCAGTCATTAAAATTCAGCGAGGCGAATGCAGCCCAAAAGTGACCCCGTTTTCTGGCCCTGGTGCCTGCAAAGTAGCTCACAGTCAGACGCGTCTGCTGAGGGAGAGAACAAGAAATGAGTTGTTTAATAGTCTGTGACTGATCCGATTTTAAAGTTTTCATAACCGCACGCACCCGTTAGCTGTGAATAATTTTGGGTTCTGCACATAAATCACGATACAGTCACCAGCAGTCAACATGTGATGATTAAAGCTGCGAACAGATGGGAGTGGGAAGGATCTGCAGGAGGCATTCGGCTTTGTTTTGCATGCTTCAGGGTTCTGTTTACTTGTCTCATGACCAGGGACTCTCCATGTTTCTAACATCAGAGCACTGTATCAGAATGTTAATGCTGTCTTATGTGAACCACCAGAACATTGAAATCTTAATTCACTAATTGCAACTACTCATTCTGCATCCTTGAGATTATAGATTTTTTTGTTTTGCAATTTATTTGACCACTTTCCGTAATTTCCTGTTGCTGCTGGGACAGTTGCCTTTGTAAATTGCTCCAATAGCCTTTCAGTTTTCCCTTCCTTCATTTTAAGATGCATAACACTCATTTTTGTGACCCACCTCTCGTTTTGGATTAGCCAAATCTGTGAACGTTGTTTCTTATGATATTGTCAGCAGGGTGTCGCACCCAGTGCAAACAACTTACTTATCAATAATGCAGGAATCACTTTACCATTTGAAGGTATTATCTAGAGACCCAAATATATCACTTTTTTCTACTTTCCTTAAAAGGTGGTTCCCATTCTGTCTGTACCCAGAGGTTCTTGCACCATTTGGCTAAATCTGTTTACTACACGCAGTATGAACAAATGTTCACCTCAGAGTCTTTGAAACTGAATTAACAATACCAAATCAATATTATCACTGATCAAATCAGTAGCTTTTTGAAATGGGGCTTCTCACTTCTGATCGAAAGCACTTTTTCAGCTCAGCAGTGACAGTTGGTGTTAAACTGCAAAAGCGAAGAATGACATGCTAAAGATTTAACAGACTCAGCCAAGGTCACATCCTCCTCAACGACCTCAAGAAAATGAGAAATCCTCCCATCCTGTACATTTGTATTCACAAATCAACTTTCAGTCCCAAGTTCTTCCAGCAGTCTGACAGATGTACTGCATCTGGATGCTCTGGAGAAGCCTCAGTGAAAATGAGTTTGTGTCCAGGTTCGTTCCCCTGAGCTTCGGCCTTAAAGGGAGGCGGTGGCGGGGGAGAGGAAGCCTGAAGGAAAAGTGATAATGAATTGACTTAAGGCCTAGTTTCTATTTTGGTTTGGAACTGGTTTGTGAAAATGGGGTGTGAGTCAGAGAAACTGCACAGTGTAGACCGACCCGGTGTGACGTCCAGATCACCATAAGATGATTGCACTGCACATCCTATCAAAACTGCACAGAAGACTGGCGGCTTGGGATACCTGTTATAAAGCTACTCTGCTGTGCAGTACTATATTCGACATTCCAACTAGATGTCACCCCAGACGGCCCAGATATCAAATACAAAGGCCGGTGAGCATGTTTAAGGTGGCGGATAGGAAAGCTACTGTGTAAAGTTCTTGATGTCAGCATAATGTCCCACAACACAACGGGCCTGGGTCTACAGTGATGGAGGAGTAAATAATGTCCTACTTAAGGGACGCTGAACTCTAACTGATAATTCCCACGGACTAATGTGCGAGTCACAGGGAACGGCGGGTGAAAGACTTCTTTGGGAATCTTCTCTCCTCGCCTCTTGCTCCCTTCACCCAGGCCTCTGCCTCTTTTTCTCCCCCTCTAAGAAGGATGACAAAATATCTTTAGAACGGCAGCAGTTGGCATCACACAACCTGCGCGGTTGTTAAAAAGGTGGCTCAAGTTTGAACTGTATGCGTTCAGAAGAGGAACAGGCAAAGCCTCCCACGGTCTGAATCAGTCTTCTTGTGAGCAGGTGTGTGTGTGTGTTTATTCGCTGCGTCCCGATCGGTACCATGGAGGCTTCCAGCAACAGCAGACGTTATCAGCTCTGCTGAGGCCCCCTCGATGTGGGCCAAGTGAAAAAATAGAGAGAGCAATCAGTGTGGTCCCATGATTCCTAGTGAGCTGTGAAGGAATGACAAGTGGAGACGCATCTCACGCGCCACGTTGCACACACAAACACACACACACACACACACACACACACACACACACACACACACACACTTTCACACCCTTTTCGTGTGTCCCTGTCGTGTCAAATTACACAATCTAATTATACCTGTTAATCACTAGCCTCTCAAACTGACTCATCTCGGAGCGCCATACTGTGCATATGGACCATCCACCGACCGCCGCCCCCCCACCAACACACACACACACACGCACATGCGCACACTTACTCCTACAAGTGCTCTCAGAGCAGCACACTCTCACTTCAGCTTTGCACAGGATATTATGAAATCGGCAGCGTTGCTGAAACTTAGTGAAGGTCGCTTTGAGTACTCTCTCTCACCCACACACCCACACGCCCTCTTCACCTTGCACTTAAACACTCACACGCACACGCACACACTCACACACATACTCCAGCAGAGAGCTGAATCTCCGCTCAGTCCCAGTCTTCTGCTGCTGGAGCGAGGAGCCAGCTGGTGATCGGACTGTTTTGCGCGAAGCGAAGGGGCCAAGCCGGCGTCGATTTGTTGTCCTTCCCAAGCTCCGACCAGCGAGCCGAGGGAGACGAGGGGGCGGGAGGAGAAGAGGAATAGTGATGGCCATGGCCGACATTGCGGAGGATGACCTGGATGAGGTGATGCGCGATGAAGCCGAGGATGTCTTCTTCCAGGACGGTAAGGCTTGCCGAGGGTCAGCTGTGAGGTCTGAAAGCCGGGGCGTGGGTGTGCGGGTGGGCTGCAGGGCCGCGGCGGGCGCCCGAGAGTCACGCCGGTCGGTTTGTGTCTTGTGTTGTCGTGATCAGGGTTAAGAGGAGGGCAAAAGTAAAGTGTGGGCCAGAGGGATCTCGTCAGCTGTGTAGGTGGGGTTGTTTTGGGCACGGCTCTCATACCCGCTGGTGCTTAAAAGGTTACCACCTAAAATATTTCTATTAAGAGGAAGATGAAAAAAAACATATGGCCAAACAGTGGTTACATAATTGCTATAATTATTCATTGAAATGAATCTGGATCTGTGAGAGCTCGAGGCCGTATGTTTTCAAAGGAGTTCCGCGCAGAGTTTGTTTATTGATTTTTCAACTTTTACCCTTTTTAGAAAGCCGAGTTCAGCCATGCCCTCCGCAGTGTGGGTGTCCTTGTATAACGGGCAGATGTTTTTAAGCAAGCGTTATGCACCACCGTCCTTTTTTTTATCATAGGCCTGCTGTAATCATAACCTACATTCAGCTGTGTCCTGGGAGCGTGATGAGCAGGTCAGTTACCACAGGAACTGATGAAAAGGGGAGAATTTGCGGTCAGGTTGAACAATAATTGAAGACTGCTCAATGTTATGTCAAACAATAATAGGACCAGGAGTGTTGATAAAGTCTTATGGTTAACAATGCGTCATACATGACCACTGAGAGCTTATAATGTCACTCATTGTTTATTATAAAGTGTAAAGCTTTTGGTGAACCTCACACATGGTTGCAAAATTGCCGATTAAACTAATTTGAATACAACTTCTCAGTTGCTCAGCGCAACTCAGCTGGCGTGTTTAAATGCAGCCCGACTAATATATTTATAGATTTGAATACATTGCTCCGCTGCAGCTGAGCTTATGATTAGTGGACAGTGAGCAGCAGAATATTCCCACTTATCGCATCATTTGGTGTGTAAAGTATGTTAACGCCTCCACTGACCCACTTCTGACTGAGATGCACCGATGGTAATGTGACGTTTCCTCTGAACAACACAGCCAGGAGGTACGCAGCCAGCTGACTCTCTGCAGCCAACCATCCAATCACAGCGCACGGCTTCATGTGGCGGCTGTGTTTGTTCACAGACACAGCTGAAGGTTGCAGAATATGGATCGCTTATGTTTTATGTTCCAATTAGCTCTCGGGATTAGTGATGAAAATTATGCTTTTCATTCTCAGTGGAGCTGAATGCAAATGTGTTTCCACTGGGCTACTTTTCTGGTAAAACATGTTGTTTTGTCATTTGGTTTGAAAATCTTTGAGATTTATTACCAACAAAAATAGAATCCAGTTTTGAATGAATTTCGCTTTAATAGTGGGGTATGGAACTTTACAACAATCTTGTGTGACGTTATTCCCAAACTAGGGATACGAACTGGGAAGTACAGGCATGTAGCCTGTTAGCATGGTATCCGGTATAAACAGGGCTGAAAGGAATGTTGAAAGTCACAGTTAATGAAAATTAACAATATGTGAAGACCGCCAAATTCATTCAGTACTTTTAACACAAAAATGTTCTGCAAACTAATACAACAGTTGATATATTTCCCTGGATGAATTTATGTGGTGCGTCATATGGTGTCAATGACACCATCGATATGAGAACACGGCTATCCATCCATCTAAGCACTGACCTTTTGTCATTTGATGCTACTTTAGATGGAGTGCGCAGCGCATGAAGAGCTGTAAAATGCACGCTATAAAATAGAAGACAAGCGGCAAAGGGGAACGTAGGTAACGCCGCTCTCTCTGTCACTTTGTGTACAACCTAAACATGGCACTGGCCTCAAAGTTACAGTAATAAAGAGGGAGTGTATACGGTGCCTTTGCTGTCATCTCTGCCTGCCCAGAGACAACAGGTTAGAGATGCCACGGTTACTCTTGTTTCTCTACCTTGTCGTTCCTTTTGCTCCTGCGCTGCAAACTGAATTATGGAGCCCTCCTTTTGGCAGAGATGTCAGAGCGCCTGAACAGAGCTGATACAGCCACAGGGGCACTTCCTGCCACACATTCCCTGCCTCTCCTCCTCAGTCACACACAGTGGGTCCAGTTCAGCTCTTGTGAATTACCAGAAAGATAGTTAACTTTGGTCAGTAGGAACCTCGGACCTCAAACAAGAGCCACTTGTTCCAACAGATTATGTCTCACGGGGCCTGTGCGAGTGATTTAGTCTTGTACTTGATATTGTTATAGCTGACACGCAACCCAAAAGGTTTATTGCGAGAAAGTCTCTGCAAAATCACCTCATCGCCAATTTCCACCTGACCTGAATGACTCGTTCAGATCTAATCTAAAAAACCTACAGGAAGAACCGTAGAGAGGTTTTACACACACGTTAACACAAACACAAGTCTGCTTTCGTCCCTTCTTATCACACTGGACACATACGCGCAGCCACCAAAAAAAACCCCAACACAAAATAAAAAAATGATATCAGTAAAAGAGCAGCTTTATTGAGACGGAAATAAACACAACGGCCTCTTTAGCTCCTTCTTCCTCCTTACGAGTCGCTCAAAGGGGCTGTTTTGCTATGCTGCTCCACTCATGAGGTTTGCAGCGGAGTGACAAACGGCGCAAGCAAAGTAGACAAGAGTTGTGTGTCTCAGAGAGGTGGGAAGCTGCAGCAGCGTGGGCTTTAACGGCAGTAAAAATAAAGTTGAGTATGAGATTGATGAATGTTTGCTGTCCAAATAAACTTGTGTTTGACTGACTGGGTCAGGTCAGGAAGCACGACAAGCCTGCTCTCAGTCACAAACTCCTGGAAGTCTTAGAAAGCACCCGGAGCTACACTTACGCTCAGGAAACAAATAGGAAATAACTCTCCCTTTGACTTTAAATATGTTGCATGTAGCTACTGGGCATTGGAACTGAACTACGTCCCCATCGTTTAACACAGCTGTGACTTGGTGAAGAGTTTATGATGCAGAAATGTTTAGTCTTGTCTCTGGTTCTTCCCTCGTCTTCCCTCCTCCACCGACGACCAATTACATGGTGAGACCAATAATAACAGCTATTGTTTGTTTGTTTTAGCCTGTTTCTAATTTTTGGAATAGTTTTCTATTTAGCCAATTTCTCTCCACGGACTTCTAAATTCCGATGATGTCATTTAGATAATACGGAGTGTAACCTGAGAGGGGTCAAAGCTTTGAAGTCGTGTTTTCACCTTTGACTTTAAGCCTTAAGGGCTTTTCTTTAAAGTTCTCATCCAAACAACACCTGATATTTAAGGAGGGAACACATACTGCAGTAAAGGCATGACACAACATGCAGGACTGTTTAAAAGGAGGAATGTCAAAAACACCTAATTTCTCATTGTCTCAGGTTTCAAGAGCTTTATTTGGAATGAGTGATGATAGGGCAGCAATCCCCCAGTAATCCAAGACAAAAAAAACAAATAAAAGGTATCTTACAGGCTTAAATTCAGCCACACACATTTACTCAATGATTCCCAAGTTGGGACCCTCAGGTGGGTCGCATAAAATCCTATTTGGGTCGCTAAAGAAATCAAGTAGCTCTTATCTGGACTCATAGATGAGACCGAGTGTGAATTGGGTGAAAATGTCTTTCTTGTTAAGTGGTAGATGCTTGTGGAGCTATTCCTAAATAACTAGTCGTACATGCTGCTTGGCAACCGACCGGTTTGACTCAAAGTGATTCTACTTCAGTCAACAAGCTGAGGGTTTACCTTTATTTATTAACAGTAACTGACACACGTATCTTGAAATGATCATGCTAAAGAAACAGACCTCATTAAATTGATTGGGTGTTAAAACCAAAGGTTTGTATGTGTAACCACATCATCACATCTGTAGTTAATTGTATTCATGCACACGTTTATTACAAATGTATCTCACCTTTGCATGAGCTCTCGTTATGTTTTCAGGCCGATGACATGAAATCAATCCAGCTTCTGGGGTGTAGGCTTTCCGCGCTCGCCCGGAGGGTGAAGCGGAGGACACACCCCCACCACACACACTCGCACCAGGCATTAGTGTGACATACAGAGTGCACGGAGAAGCCTGCAAGACTAGAAGGCAGGTCAGATTTCACAAATCCATTTCTCCCTGAGTCTTGTCTGTTTTTGCCTTGTGAGCCAAACCCCAGGAACCCGTATCCCCCCTGTGAGCCCACATGGTGCCCAGCAAGGCGCAGGAGAGAGGAGGAGATACATCTACTAAGCATCTGATCCGACGGTTTGATATTTATATAGCGAGATACAAGAAAAACACGAACACGCTGTTATTAAAAGCATCGGATCTGTGTTTTTTCACTGCTTTTGGTTACATATTAGAATATTTTGAGTGCTGTTCAACAATTTAAACTGGAAAGATTTTAAATTGCTTTCCACAAGAAATTCAACTTTCAATAACATGCCATAATCATTGGAAAAATGTCCACTTTAATTTAGCTTTTTGTTTTATTTTCAACCACAATAATACTTCAACATCCATTTTAGATTCGTTTTGGATACTTTCTAATAAATCATATTTTTCAAAGGTGAAAACCCTTATATTTCTGAACATAACGGTCATTCATAATACTATACTAATACTACATAAATATAAGACTATACAAGTTACATTAATATGTCAGGTTCAAAACAGACTTAATGCACATTCCCCGCCTGACAAAAACTAAATCTCACCAATGTTCCTTTGGTGAGACAATGTCAAATTTTGTGGGTGATATTTTTCTTTGTTGTAAGTGCATGTCTGATCTGCAGAAGACATAAATGCTGCGTTAGAATAAAAGGGGTCACTGCTGGAAGTTGTAAAATGATCTTTAGCTGACTTGATCTCCTTGCACACAAATGCACACGCACATGACCCGCTCCTCTTGCTCCCAGTCATTATCCGCCATGCTCATCGTGCACACACTGACTGTCCACCCACACATACACTTCCACGGTCTGGCCATAGATGTCCTCTCTGTCCGCGG